AAAAAGAAAATTATGAGGCAACTTTATTATGTATTTAAAGGAAATAACAAGTTGTACATAATAGATTTGCAGTTTCATGTACATGCATCTTTTTTTTCTATTTTGCAAGATTATGTAAATACTTGTTTTATTAAATTCAGAATAAAATGATTTTTAAAAAAAGAATGTTTAAAAAACCAAAATAAATAAATAAATAAACAAAATAAAAATAGGAAGCTCTCAGCTTCCCCATTCTGGCACCTTTGTCACAGTTAGCTCCTTCTTGGACTGCCCCATTCTGCCCCTCCCCCAGCAGTGATCTTTTGCAGCCCAGGACCAGTAAGTCACCCAAGGTTTCCATCTGTTCCACCCTGTTCCTTGAAGTTGTGGCTTAGACTTACTTTGCTACATCTTCCTCTACTAAATTTGTCTTAAAAATTGATTGGAGGGAGCATATTTTCCTGGTTAACCCAAGTATAATTTGAGCTTCTAGCCCTGGGCATAAAAATGATTAGTTACGGTTCTGCTGGGACAAAAAACAGAAAGACCTTGAATGTCAGGCTGAGGAGTTTGGACTTTGTTCAATAGGTTAAGGAAAGGTTTTGAAAATTTTTAAGTGGGAGGAGGGGATAATATAATTAGAGCTATATCTTAGAGAAATTAATTTGATGACTCGGATGGATTAGAAGGAAGAAAATCTAAATTCGTGGAAAATAATTAGGAAGCTATTAGCTGAAACGTAAAAGAGGGCCTGAATTAGGATGAGCATACAAATGTCTTTGCAGGTATTACCAATAGAAATATGTAGCATATATAAGAGATATAACTTCATAATTCCTTAAAATATGCTATTATTCAAACTTTCCTGGGTAGACATCATTTGAACTAACCATTATTGGTTTAGAATTTTGTTGGATGTTAGGGGGAAAACAAAATAGTGATAATAACATTTTGCAGCAGAGTGAAAAGACCAAACTCAGAATTAGGAGACCTGGGTTTGAGCCTTGGCTATGACATTTACTAGCTGTGTGATGTTAGGATGAGTTCTCTAATCTTTCCAAGCCTCAGTTTCCTTCTCTGTAGAGTTGGGATAATAAAACTTGCACTAACGGTGTATAAGGGAAGTGCTATGCAAATATGAGCTATTAGTCCTCAGCAGATAATCCACTAGAAAATGAAAAATTGAGAGTATACATGTATCTTAATCCTTGCTACAATTTCCCCCCACAGTTTTGTCTTGTGGTCTTCTTTTCTATTGTCCTGATGAGTTTTGGGAATAGCGTTAGCTTCCTCTGTATTTTCAGCTCCCCTTTGCAAGCCCCAACTTCATTTGGATTTTAATTGCATTCAGGTCCTAATTTATTACTTAAAAAGTATCTCCCAAATACCTAATTAATTTTAATTTCATTATGTGTTTGAAGATGATTTATAGAGGAAAAGAGGATGATGTTCCCATTTCTAGTAATTAGAGTTCACTTAGCAAATAAACAGTGTGGTTTTACTATGATGAAGTCTCTGGCTAGACCTTATTTTTAAGGTCAAATAAAGGAGTTCCATGTTTCTAAGCAGACTCAGAAGCCTTCCTAAAAAAATTCTGTGTTTACTATGTCTTTTACACCTTACCATATTTCACAGAATGGTGTAGTGCAGGAATGGGGAACCATTGGCCTTGAGGCCACATGTGGCCTTCTAGGTCCTTGGGTGCAGCCTTTTGACTGAATTCAAGTTTTACAGAACAAATCCTTTCAGTAAGGGTATTTGTTCTGTGAAGTTTGGATTCAGTCAAAGGGCCACACTTGAGGACCTAGAGGGCCACATGGGCCTCCAGGCTTCAGGTTCCCCACCCCTGTCTAGTGAGATGAGCATTGGACTTGGAATCACAAGGCCTAGGCTCAAATCTTGGCTCTACCTTGCTGCATGATTTGGGGCACATTACTTTATTTCTTTTGGCCTTATTTTTCTAATTTGTATAATAGGTAGAACTGCAACTTGGAATATTTTTGCCTGGGGCAAAAAGAGTTGAGTAGGCAAAAAGTTGGGAGGAGAGGGAAGGCATCATTGCAAAGGAAAGTTGTAATAGCAAGGGAAGAAAATTCAAGCATTAGCATCCCCTTCCCCCATGAGGATGAGGTGTAAGGCAAGCCCTCACAGGGCCATTGGTACCCTGGTTAGGGTTGGGTGGGGAATGGCCTTAAGCATCGCTGCACTATGCTAGTGTAAGCCAGTGGAGTTTTTGTTCTTGTTCAGTTAGAGTAGTATAGGACCCAGGAAATGATTGGTGGTCCTTGGGGGTGGGGAGTACAGCCCCGTCCCCTCCACCTGTTGAGTCCAGGAGCAAAGTCCTGTTTATCTCATCCTGATTACAGCTTTTAGAAATGGGCATAATAGTCCTTTTTTTTTTTAACTTACATATAGGATTACTTTGAGGTTCAAATGAAATGTAAAACCCCTATGGAAACATTGATGCACCACGCAAAAATAAGGTATTATTACTTCTAGTAATCATTGTTTTCCAAAAAAAAATTTAAATTCACAATAACAACGCCATGTAAAATTGCTAAGTGGGTTTGTATTTATTTTATTTTATTTTAGCTCTCATGATAGGGTAGCTAGGTGGCACAGGGGATAGAGCACTGAACCTGGAATCAGGAAAACCCGAGTTCAAATCTGGCCTCAAACGCTTCACTAGCCTCAATTTCCTCATCTATAAAATAAGCTGGAGAAGGTCAACCGCTCTAGTATCTTTGCCAAGAAAACCCCAAATGGGATCACAAGAAGTCAGGCCCATCTGAAACGACTGAACAACAACCATGACAGATTCTTTGTGAGAAATTATTTGCCCTGGACCTTAATAAATGTTGAGTACTTTATACACATCTCCTTTTTTAATGGAGATGAACAATGTTTCTTTTTTTCTTCTTCTATAAATGTCATTTTAGGAATGTAAATCAAGGAATCGAAGAATTAGCAGGACTGATATGGGTCAAACACACAGACATCCTGCTATTCTCAGCTACTGATTGAAAATATCCATCATTATTGCAATATCGAATATATCTAGGGAAAGTATAACTTATATAATTCCAGTCACATAAAATAACATGCTTTTGTGAAATGGGTACAGAAAATCCTTTAAAACTCATTTTTTAAATAAATCTTTTCATTGTAAAAATATTTGGAAAACTCCTTTGTTAGGAATAAGGAAAAAGAGAAAGAAAGAAGAAAGGGAGATTTTAGAAAATCAATTCCTAGTACTTCATGCTTCTGAGATATAATCATCCTCTCAGCAAGAATTTTCATGGATGAACTACTTGGTTGCTCTTAGAATCATAAAACGCCTTTCTTGTGCATTCTTGCAAAGCATTGGTGAGTTTGGCCAAACGGGGATAATCTTATCTGGACGGGCATTTCTTTAAGTTTTCCCTTCCAACAGAACTGTAGAAAATTGCTTGAAAGAATATTGGAAATCACCTAATCCAACTCTTTCATTTCATTTTATCTTATTTTTCCACTTCAAATATCAAGTCACTATTTTTTTACTTTGTTTTTTAAACTGTATTTTCTTATGTATTTTGACTATATGTCATTTTCTACGCCAACCTTCTTCAGAGTCAACCCTTCCTTGTAACAAAGCAAAACCATTCAAAACAGAGATCATGTTTGACAATACATATAATATTTTATGCTGTTAGTCCTCCACCTCTCTGCCTTGAGGGTTAACTTGAGGTTGGGGTCACTGAGATGGTTTGTATTAGAGATGGGACTTGACTCAGGCCTGACTCTTGAGACTGGCTCTATCCATTACACAATGCTGCCTCTTTCTGTGTATATTTTAACTAACGGTTAACACTCATGACCCATTTCAATGAATTCTTTCAACAAAATTCGTGTTAAAGTGAAAATGTCTGAGAAAACACATACACACATGATTGGTAAGTGCCTGAATCCAAGGTAGTTGATATGCCCCTTTTGTTTCATTAATATTGGCAGCACCTAAGTCTGGCCTGATTTCTCAAATGTTACCCATTAATCCCAAAGGAGATCTAGTATGGATGGATCAGTATAAATATATTACCATAGAATTTTTTAAAAGCCTAACATGTATGTTTTATCACCTTTTATATCCTGATTTCCTCAGCTGCTTAGTGCCTGTCCTGTAAAATGACTGTATTTTTATCTACCTATATATATATAAGTATATATTGTCTCCCCAATAGAATGTACATTCCTTAAAGGCATGTTGTTTCATTTTTGTCTTTTTATCTCTAGCCCCTAACATAAGTACCTGGTCCACAGAAGGTGCTTAATAAATGCTACCTTGTTTACTATCAATGATGGATTGATTTTTACAAAAAGAACACAGAAATACATAGCACACACACACACACACACACACACACACACACATACATACACACACACTTTTTTGGGGAATTTTTCTAGTCAAAGGAAGAATTTTTAGGAAATGTCAAAACTTAGATTAGAGAGACCCTGGAGAGGAGGAGAATTAAGGGGAAAATTAGGTGCTTATTCACTATTTTCAGATACTTGAATGAATTCCAGGGGAGGCCACATGTGGCCCTCTAGGTCCTCAAGTGTGGCCCTTGACCTAGAGGGTGTCATGTGGCCTTGCGGCCACAGGTTCCTCCCCCCTGGATTAGACTTACACTGCATGGCATTCAGGGGACTAATTGGTGGTAGGTGTTAACATGATCAAAAAGAGTTTTCTAATAATTAGAGCCGTACGCAAATGGAATGGGCTTCCTTGTGAGTTTTCCATCACTTGAAAGGAGTAGCTAAATAAAGATTAGTCAGAGACACCAGAGAGAGTATTAATATATTGGATAAGGGTTTGTTTGAATGTATTCTAATATCCCTTTCAGCTCTTGAATTATCTGATTCTAAGAAAGGGAAGCAGTTGTGGGGTGGTTCAGGGTATTTACAAGACATGATCTATCTCTGACTTCTAAATCAAGAATGGTGAAAGTGATTTACCCTCTTCTCTTCTTTCCTTCTTCTAGAAAAAGCAAGTGAGTCAGACGAAGATCCGGGTGATCTCAACCATATTATTCATCTTGGCAGGCTGCATTGTATTTGTAACAATTCCTGCGGTCATTTTTAAGTACATTGAGGGATGGACAGCCTTGGAATCCATATACTTTGTGGTTGTCACATTGACCACTGTTGGCTTTGGTGATTATGTGGCAGGTAAGAAATCTAGGATCCAAGTGGGCTTGCCTCTGCATGTGTGTGTGTGTGTGTGTGTATGTGTGTGTAGGCACATACGTATTAAAGGGAAGAAATGGAAATATCTCTGTTAATGAGGTTTTTCCAGCCTGTCTGCTGAAACAACTTTCTTGAGAGTAACAATGAAAATGGCTCAGAATATCAGTGCTTATGTGTGGCTAGCAATTAAAGTGTCATACTGGGGCAAAGTCTGATTGGCTTGGATGATGCAAAAAGTACCAAGTCCTTGCAGTAAAATGGAGGTAAACTTTGTACATCTATAAAGCTTATTTCTCTTATACATGAATTATGTATGAGTGAAATGAATTTCCTTCCAAACACTAAATTCTCAACTCTATTAGTACACTGTAGACCAATACCACCAATGAATATTGATTTAAAAAATTTACAATTACAAAGACTATAGCAATTTATTCAGAAATTGTTTCACTATGATTAAGTTAGAATTATATCAAAGTTACAAGGATGGCCCAACATCTAGAAAACAATTCTTCTTGGAATTAATTATATTAGTTAATCACATTAAGTCAGAAACTCCTGGAAGCACATAATCATATCAATTAATATAGAAAAAGACAAATATACATTGGCAAAATACAATATTCACTTATGCTTAAACTCTTCCCTGTCCCCCTCCAAAGCATAGGCACAGAAGAACCACTTTTTCATTTGGTAAAAGGTATACATTGAAAACTAAAACCTACCATAATTTGCAATAGGGAAACCTTAAAAGATTTCTCCATAAAAATAGGTAGTAAAGTAAGGATGTCTCCTTTCTCCATTGGTATTTAATAGGCTAGAGATAGCAATTTAAAGGCTAGAGTTAGTGATAGACAAGAAATAGAAATGAAAGGCAAAAATAGAGAAAAAAAGTAGACAAAATTATGCCTATTTGGTAATGATATAATGGTTTACTTAGAAAACTCCAGAGAATCAGCAAATAAATCAGTTTTAATAACTTAGATAATAGTTTCAGGAAAATAGCAGAATACAAAATAAACTAAAAAGTTAATAGAATTTCTATATGGCAATAAAAGAGAAAGTCTCATTCAACTTAGACATAAGATGTTTTTGTACTTCTTGAATCAATTAACAGTGGCCTTCATTTTCTATAGTAGCTAACACAATATACTAAAGATATTTTCTTACAGGATGGATTGCAAAGGATCATTAGACTTCTGGGCTGGTTTTAGCAGCTCCCTGTTACTGCTGACAAACATCTAAGGCTTTCTCTGACCCAACTCATAGACTTCTGAGGACTATTTAGCTTTAGATGTCATAGCAAGAAAGAATTACAATTGAAGATGCATTTGTGGTGGGCAGGACAGCAATAATCCTCATAATCAAATACCACTAAGAGGCCCAGTTAAAAGAGATTCAAAAAAAAAAAAGATCACCATCAGGTATACCTTGGGGGGAGTGCAAGGGTGAGGGTGGGATGGGGTGGGAGTGGGGTTGATAACAAAGTGGAATTTAACTTCCTTTCTTTTCCCTAAGTGTCATTAGAAGATGATTGTGGGAGGATGGGGCCTACTTCCTTCTGTTTTCAATTTTATCCCCTAGGTGTCATTCCCAGCTAGCTGGTTAACTAATTTCACACTATAAAATAAAACTTTTCAGCATAGCCATAATTTAAATATTTATTTTATTGGTCAAATGTTGTGTTACTGTTCTTACTGGTCTTTGGCTAAACATTGGGCAGAAAATTCAAAGGCTGCATCTCTACCCTATTTTGGTAGTATGTACCAATTTCTATATCTGTGGTCTCCTTCATTAGAACATAAGCTCCTTAAGGATGGGGACAATTTAAAAAAATTTTTCTTTATGTCTTAGAACTTAGTGTAGTGGGTAGCATGTAGTAGATGCTTAATAAATACTTGTTGCTTGCTTGTGAATGACCCCAGGAAAGATTTGGCTTCTCCATAGAGTATAGAAAACTCAGTGATAGATGATCTGTCCTATGGAAAGCTGTCCAGAAGGAATTATAGAAAGGCTGCCATAGGCCAGACAATGAATAATGGCACTGTTGCCTGCTTTCTAATTGCCTGACCCAGAGGACCCAGGGAAGTCTACTTCGTTGTAACTGCCATTGGGTTGCATGGAGCTTTAGGCTACTCTGCATAAATAATAGTCTTTCACCCTAATTGCCTAGGTCTGTCACTAAAAATTAGAAAGCTGAGGTGATTAATGCTAAAACATTCGACATCCAAACTGGTATCTGGTCCCTTGTACGTTCTTTCCTTTTGGGTATCCAGGTTAAGTGTCCATTTGAAAGCATCCACTTATAAAAACACTGATTTCATTTGAATAGACCAGGCTGCCTATAGACAGTAAGAAGCTGGAGGTAGACTGAGTAGAAAATATGCATGGGATAATAAGAAAAAATGTTGTGAATGTTCCAGTCTAATTTCAGTTGCTAGAAATGTCGGTATGATTTCATAATTATAATATTTGTAACTAGGGAAAAAAAATCAGTGTCTCTGACAAAAGTAAAATATATCTATATAACAATCTTTTGAATTAATAATGGTTCCACAAATGTATTGAAGTACTGGAAAGCAGAACTTGCTAGAGATTGGGCTCTAAAGAGGGATCCTTATAAGAGTCTTGTCTCTAGATTCCAAGTAGCAGAACCCTAGAGGATGGTTCTGACTAGAATTTTCTGGAACATTGGTAACTTGCAGCCAATTTATGTGGTAGCAAAAACATCATTAGTTGATAGTTTGGACCAATATTTATGGTTGGAATTATTCTAGAATGATTGTTCTGCTGAGAATATAGGTACATGTTAGGGGTGCCTTCTTGTCTTAAAACTCTTTATGGGTCACTGACAAAAGAAAAATGAATTAATCGGTCAGCTAATAGTCAACAAGTATCTATTAAGCATTTACTATATACCAGGCATTGTGCTAAATGCTGGGGATATGAATAAAGGTGAACTTACTCTTGGAACTTCAATCACATCCTTTTAGAAAATCATTTGTATAGTGGTACTGTGAAAATTTTCCCTTTATCCATCACTGTTCTTAAACACATCTACCTTAACTATTTTTCCTTCCTGTATTTACATTATCCAGTACCATATATCTGTACCAGTGGCAACATGTTACAATGGAAAAAAGATGCTGGCTCTAGAATCAGTGGGACTGGGTCTAAATGCTCTCTCTGATGATTAGTGACCTTGGTCAAGTCACTTAAATTCCCTTGTCCTCAGTTTTCTCTTGGGTAAAGGGAGTAGTCTTCTGAGAGTCCTTCTAGTTCTACATCTTGGATTCTTTAACCAGGTGACCTATACTTGAACATGCTCAGTTTTCACTAGAACTACAAATGCACATTTTAAAAATGTAAAAAAAAAATCCCTCCTCAGCTGAAATTCATGATCTTTAGATAGACAAATAGGCAACAAGCATTTATTAAGTGCTTACTGTATATAGGTGGGCTGACACAGATGTGGTAACTTATGCTGCTTTAGTGACCCTTTCTTAAGGATGATTATTTTAAAGAGAAGATTTAAAAAAAATTCTCTGAGGGTTCTTTATATGGCTAAAAGTCTCTGGGCTCTGATCTAAGCTGGTGAAAATGACACTGATTATAGTGAGATACTGTATATAAAGCACTTTCCAACCCTCAAAGCACTTTCTACATGCTAACTATTATAAGGAACATATTTCCTTTGTGCTCTGAAAGTTTGCAATGATTGAGGCTGACTTTAGGTCCTCTTGTTGCCTCTAAATAGACAAAAACAGCTTTTGCTTTCAGGGTCCATTGAAAAGCTCTTGCAGACTTATCAGAACAAACACATGGTTGATAAAGACTGGATTTTAATTATTGCTAATTTATATTAATACTACAAGTGCACCAGGAAACCGGGCAACATCAGATCCTTGATCACTTGCCCGGTTTGGCCTAGAAGTAGTTCTACTAGGCTGCTCCACAGCTAAGCTGTATCAGGAAGATTACTTCTGCTAACTGGGCTGAATAGAATTAATTGCTGGTTGAAATTCTAATCAGTTGGATTTATCCCCAGCAGAGCTGTGCTGCTGTTACACCATCTTGCAGCCTGACTTTGAGGGGACGCTGCTCCACAGGGTTCTAGAGGACAGGTACATAGTGAAAATGGTCACTAATTGCATTATTCTCTAGCACACCCTAGTGGCCTTCATTATTGGGTAAATGGCCTGCAAAAGTCAATGTTTACCTTCAGGGTGGGATGGTTCCAAAGAGAAGGATCTTGGAGAGGCGATGAAGTACAGGAATCTGAATTACTCACTGGGGCAAGTGCTTTTGGAATTAGTTTTTGAAGAGCCTTGTGGGAAAAGGAAAAGGTGATGAAATGAATTGTGAGGGCTTGCTATTTGCTTGTTCTGGCTCTTGGCTAGGATGCTTTGATTTGTGATTTTTAGGAAGTTGATAGCAGTTATAGAATCATTTCCCAGTGCAAAGTGAAGTATCAATCAGTCAATCATTTATTAAACACCTACTATGTGCCAGACACATTGCTAAGTACTTTGAGAATAACCTCATTTGATCTTCATAACAACCCTGGGAGGTAGGTGCAATTATTGTTATTATTCCCCTTTTACTACTGAGGAAACTGAAGCACACAGAAATTAAGTGGCCCGATGAGGGTCATACAAGTAGTAAGTATCTAAGGCTAGATTTGAACCTAGGTCTTCCTGATTTCAGGTACCCAGAGCTCTTTCCTCTTTGCTCAGTGCATATGGGACAGCCACTTAACCTCTCAGATTGGACCCTTCTCCCTATCCCCTTCTCTACTCATTTTACCTCTCTCTAAACTCCTCACTCCTTACAACGGTGTAGTGGATAGATAGACAGCTGATCTCAAAGCCAGGAAGACCTGGTTCGAGTCCTGCTCCTGACGTATAGTGGCTGGATGACCCTGGTTAAGTCATTTACCTCCTCAGTGCTCTCAACAACTCTCAAAGGCTCTAAGTTGCAGAGCAACTTGCATTGGTAAAGGGAGTTTCCTCACCAGGGAGTTCCCTCCCTACACTAGTAAAATCACAGGTTTAGTCTCTATCTGTATCAACATGAGTTTAATGGTGCTACATGTGGCCAGACCCTTGGGGATTTTTTAATTACCAACATATGATGGAAATTATAATTATGAAGCTCACAATAAAGGCACTGTACAATTACCCACATATGCCATCCCAGAAATGATAATTTCTCTACTTCTCTGTGATGAGTAATGATGTCTGCAGCAAGAGGAGTAAAGATGGCTGACATTTATTTTAAAATCCTTCAATCCAGTGTGCAATTTTCATGATTCATAAATTGTATGAATAATTCAGAATTAAAATCTTAAATTCTGATCATGTTACTCTTCCACACAAGAAACTCTACTGGTCCTTTTTTGTCTCTAGGATACAAAGCAAGCTTCTTTGTTTGACCTTCCAAACTCCTCACAATATGGCTGCAGCCTAATTCCAGACTTATTACACATTACTCACCTTCATGAATTCTATAGTCCCACCAAACTGGCTTACTCACTCTCCCCTACATACAAGGCACAGCAGACAGGACATTGGACCTGCAGTCAGGCAGACCTGAGTTTCAATCCAGCCTCAGACACTGACCTTTGCTCATGAGACCCTGGTCAAATCATTTAACCTCTCTTGGCCTCAAAGAAAGTGCTAGTGATGTAGAGTCATGAAGCTTCTGTGTATTTTATACATCTTTGGCTTGGTTTATTCCTTATTCTTGATGCATATTCTTGACCATATATTTCTAATCATCCTCACTTGTTTCCATCTTTTGCACTGAAGTATATATATTTAATTCAGAGGGTCTTACTGAGCTCTTCATAGAATTTTCCCACCTCTCCATCCCCTGTGTCAGATGTTGATAATCAGTTGAAATGATTTCTGTGTTTGCAAATACTTGTAATAAACAGTACAATGCAAAATGATTAAATGTCTCATGAAATGTGACTTGTTGTCTTTGAACACATAACAAAAACTTACTCCATCAATTCCTTTATTTGACTTAACAAGGAGAACCTGAAGTCCTTCTATAATTTGGCTGCAACTTTCTTCTTTCTTCAGATTCTGTTCAGAGGGAAACTGTCAAGACAGATATAATTCACTTCTTCAATAATCATTGGACATAGATCTTATGTTTAGACTGCCTCTTGTAGGAGGTGGGACTAGGGCTTAGCCTTTTTTTAAAAAAAAAATTTTTAAATTGAGTTTAGTCTTTAAGGAAGCCAGAGTGTAGAATTAAGATATACGTGCATTTTGGGCATGGGGGATAGCCAATGAAAAAGCACAGAATTAAGAAATGGAGTGCCATGTGTGAAGAACAACAAACAAGCAACATCCCTAGATTGCAGAGTATGTAGAGGAGAGTAATGTATAAGAAGACTGGACAGGTAGTAAGGGGCCAGGTTGTGAAGGGCTTTAAAAGCCAAACACGGCATTTTATGTTAAAGGGAACCACTGGAGTTTATTGAATAGAGAGAGATAACATGGACAAAACTGCACTTTAGTAATATTGATCTGACAATTGAGTGGAGGACAGACTGGAAAGAAGAGAGACATTTTATGAACATAATTACATAATAATTGCATAATGTACATTACACATATATAATATATGGAATATTACATATACTATCAGATGTAGGTGATTTGCAACACACAACCTTTGGTGAACAAGTTTTTTTGCCTCTTTTTAAATTTTTGTTAAAAGTGATGGCTCATTGGGTAGAGAATGGAAGGGAGTATGTATTCAGAAATGAAGGTAACATAAACATAGAAGATATTAAAAAAACCAACCTTACAAAAAATTATTTAAATGTAATATCACAGGGAGGGTTCATGGGAATAGTGAACAGGTTGCAATGAATAACTGTAAGCTTTAAAGAAGAACCAGAGTAAAAAAAGAAGATGGGCTGGTTGCATTGGTGAGAGCTTGGAGTAGACAGTTTGAGTACTCCAGTGCTATCCTTGCAGTGTTGAGAGAAAGTGAGGAAAGCCCTTAGTACCTTGGGTTGGACTCTCTGGTGTGATATTGTGGGAGGGCATGGGCAGGAGCTTGACAGTAATAGGCAAGCATAGAGGAATTTTGATCTGCATCATTGAGGGCAACATCAGCATCTATGAAATCACAGAACCACTTGAATATTTGAGTAAAATCCCTTGCCCTTACCCCCTCCTTAATTCAAGTCAGGCAAGTAGGTGGTATATATTTTACACATCTGTTCAGAAATCTGGGCCTATCAGGGATTATTGAATGAGTTGAATTGGCCCTATCAAATGATCAGTTTAAAGTCAATACAGCCAGAGAGCTGGTCAGTTCCATTTGTCCATTGTTTTCATTCTACTGACTAATTGTTAAAGAAAGGGATGGAACACATGATCTCCAGTTCCCTTCCACTCTCCAACTGATGCTTTTTTTCCTCCCCCTCCTCCAGCTTTAACATTACATGGTCATAATTGGCAGAAATGACTGTTTCTTTTAGCATCATAGAGACAAACTATGATTAATACTAATACACATCTACCTGAAAAGATGATTGAGAAACTATAAAATTTCTATTTTTCAGCTTAAGTCATATTCTTCCTTCTTGGCTAAATGCATTTATGGAAAAGTAGAAATGAATTCCATAGGTCTATTAAAGAATTCTAAGCCATTTAGGAATATTCCACAGTGTTTATTTTACATTCAAATAATTAAGGAAATTAAAAATAATGCCCAGGGTTGCTCTCTTTGGCTTAATTTATTATCATAATACATAATTTAAGATGAGGTGTAAGTCACTCATCCAAGTTTTCCATGACATTATGTATTTCTCAATTAGGAGCAAGAAGGCAGCCACTAATTAAACTCTTCTAGGGGACAGACATGTTCTTTCCTTAGTGACCACTAGAAGAGTCTTTAGCATCATCCAGTACTCTTCTTAATAATAATTATCCCTTCCGCATCTTGACTTTCCCCATTGAGGTTTTGATATATTGCGTTCAGTGGGTTGGCATAAGAAATTACACGGGAATTTTTTGAGAGCAAAGTTTTGCAGAAGTTGCAGATGACACACAAAAGCCAGCAGACAACACAGAAGAGGTTTAGAAACTCAGAAATGCATAAAGTCTATGTATAGTATATATGTATAGTATTGTATAATATCAACCCAAATTTTACAACAAAGTACCGTAAACACCCCATCAAAGAAAAGGAAAAAATTCAGACTTCTTCTCTGGTACTAAGGGTGGGCCAAAAGAATTTTATGTGTATTTTCCAGATGGTAGGGGTGCTGCATCCCTAACCCCAACAATGTAGAGGGGATAGTTGTATATTTTCATTTGATGGACTAAAATACATGGATGCTGTAAGACTAATGTATGAAAAATAATCACACAGTAACGTTTTGTTCTTTTTAGGGGGAAATGCCGGTATCAATTATCGAGAGTGGTATAAGCCCTTAGTGTGGTTTTGGATCCTGGTGGGTCTCGCCTACTTTGCTGCTGTCCTCAGTATGATTGGAGACTGGCTCCGAGTTCTGTCCAAAAAGACAAAAGAAGAGGTATGATACTTTTCCCACCTATGCAGCTATTTCAGGAAACATCAGACCAAACCAAAGACAGTCTTAACCTCATGTTTGTGCTTGAAATACTACTTCTCACTAAGCTTTGTCGAACTGCATTTTTAAAAAATGATATTTTTAACCAACATACCAAGTGGAGTAGCAATCTCTAAGTTCTTTCCTGGTAGGGGAGAAAAGATGGAGACTCAAGTATTAATCTAACATTGAGTACCTAGTATTTGGGTATACCACACTCTTGGTAGTGAAAAAGGGAAAAAACCAAAATTTTTAAGAATAGCAGAGCATAAGTCGGGATAAAGCATGGTTGATTTATATGTGAGACTGTCTTCTATCAGCAGTCAAAGAAAGAAACCTGGAGAAGAGAAAGAAGCCCAGTAAAAAAAAAAATTCCTTCAGTTATATTTATGGTCATGTGATTAGGCAATGCTTTGATACATAAATTCTTTGTTGATTTGTTATTATGAGCCTTTACTATATTTCACACCAAGCAATAATGATCAGTCTTGAAGAGATAAAAGTTCAAGGAGTCTCATTCTCTCCCTTGCGCTTTAGATCAGTAGAGAAATGTGTTCCAGTTCCTTAATACAGTTAACCCATGGGCATCAATTCTTATGAAAACCTAGTCAAAGGCAAAGAAAGAAGAAAGACAGGCCATGAACAAAAATTCTTTAAAAGATTAAAAATAGCATGCTTTTATTAAGGATAAAAAGGAGAAAGAAGTAAAATGGGGGTGTTTTGGTGGTGTAGAGGCAAGAGAATTAAATGAGGTGGGAGGGCTTAAAGCATGGCACAATGGAAAGAACACTGGGTCTGGAGTCAGAGGACCTGTGGTCAAATTAAGCCTCTGATGTTTACTACATATGTGACTTTGAGCAATTTGCTTAACCTTTGTGGGTCTCATTTTCCTTATCTACAAAATGAGAGAGTTGGAATAGATGGTCATTTCCAGCATATGGAATTCAGGAAGCACAAGTTCTTGTACCCGCTGGGCCACCTGCTTGCTGAGTGACTCTTGTACAAATTCCTTAATCTCCTTGGGTTTCAGTTTTTTCATCTGTTGAATGTTTAGCTTAGACTAGGTGATCACTAAAGACCTTTCCACCTGCAATATTCTATGTGCTGATGAAAATGACAGAATAAAAAGAAGGGGAGGCAGAGAGAAGGAAGTGAAGAGAAGCCAAACTATGAAAACTGAAAGGACAGTGGCAATATTAATTAAAATATTATAAGCCTAACTGTCCATTTTTTAATTTAAAATTTTATTAATATCTTGTTTTTTAATGTGGGGAGTTTCAAATGTCTTCTTCAAGGACAAACATGGTTATTACATTTTCATAGCATTTAGTTTCAGATTTTTTTTGTTTCATTCATATTGTTGTAGTTATTGTGTATTTCATTTTCCTGGTTCTGCTTACTTCACTTGGTATCAGTCCTTCCCATATATCTCTATCTTTTCCATATTCATCTTTTCGTGTAGAGTAGTAATGTTATATCACAAAAATGCAGCTTTTTTTAAAAAAAGACCTATCCTCCAATCAGTAGTCACTTCCTTTATTTCTAGTTATTCTATACTACAAAGAGTGCTATTACACATTTTTTGGTGCTTTTGGGACTTTTCTTTGAATCATTGATTTTCTTGGGGGATGTAGATAACAGTGGGATGACAGAGTCAAAGCGTATGGGCATTTTAATTAATTTATTTTCAACTGCTCCATTTCTTCCAAGAACAGTACTTTATAGTTAATCAGTTAGTAGATATTTATTAAGCACCAGGCACTGCGGTTACAAAAGAGGCAAGACAGTCCCTGCCCTCAAGGAGCAATCAATCTAATGGGGAAGAAAACAAACAAATATGTACACATAAGCTACATACAGAAAAAAAAATGGAAATAAGACAGAGAAGGCCGTAGAATTATGAGGGATTGGAATAGGCTTCCTAAAATGAGTATTTAGTTATGAGGTAAATAATTATTTTCTGTTGTGTTAATAATCTATCATTAAATTGGAATCCAGGGTTTTTTTTTTTCTATTTCCTCATTTAGGGCTCAGCCCCTGTAGATCAATCAGGCAATCCCTGAAGGACAAGGCTGATAGATGAGATTGCCCAAATCCTCCAACCCTCTTCCACCCAACTAGGAGACCTTACTTCTGTTTAAGTGTAAATGGAATCTAATCTAGCAGAATTCCAGCCCCAAAGCATTCATTGAGTTTATGCCCTTGTACCACACCCTTACCCCCACTGGAGTTTAGGGTAACCCAGTTCTTGAAGGAGAAAACCAACCAGAGTAATTTGGGTAGAGATGGATTCCTTTGTCCAGATTGCTGGAGAAGACTGATCATGATCAAGCCATGTTCTCATTAAGAGGAACTGAAGACATTTAGCCCACCTACTCCTTTATATGTCCAACAATCAGGGTTGATTTATCCCATCAGGGGCATTCCCTTTCAAAAAATATTTAAGGCATTCAGTGTCGCCATTAGGTGTCTTTGGGTGCCCAGAGAAACCACTAACCATCAATTTGTTGATTATTAGCTAGCCTGATTAATAAATTGATTGTTAATTACCCAGAAATTCTGTCTCTCGGGTTTTTCATTCATCTCAGTTAGGAACAGGAAGTAGGTAGAGATGAGTAGCGGGAGCATTCCAGGAATAGGGGACAGCCAGCAAAAATGCCCAGAGCCCAGAGATGTAGGAAATTATTTATGAAACAGCCAGGAGACCAGCGTGACTGGATTGCAGAGTACATGGAGGGGAGTAAGGTAGAAGACTGGAAAGGTAGGAGTGGTTTAGCTCATGAAGGGCTTTAAATGCCAAGTAGAGGATTTTGTCTTTGATCCTTGAGGTGACGTTTATTGAGTAGAGGAGTGATAGGGACAGTCTTGTGCCATAGGAAAATCACTTTTGTGACTGAATGGAGGATGGATTGGATTGGGGAGGGGCTTGAGGTAGGCAGACCCACCAGAAATATACTGTTATACTCCAGGCATCAGGCGATGAGGGCCTGTGCTTAGAGTGGTGGCAGTGTCAGAGGAGAGAGGGAATTGTTTTTGAGAGATGGTGCAAAGGTGAAATCGACAGGCCTGGCAACAGCTTGGATATGAAAGAGTGGGGAGGGAGATGGTGAGGAGTCAAGAATTACACTTAACTTGCAAGCCTAAGGGACTGAGAAGATAGTTTTGCCCTGGATAGTAATAGGGAAGGTAAAGTGTGGTGAGTGGGGCAGAACTCAGGGGGAAAGATGAGCTCGGTTTTGAACATGTTGAGTTTATGTGTACTGGATATCCAATTTGAGATGTCTGAAAGGCAGTTGGAGATACAAGATTGGAGGTCAGCAGAGAAGCTGAGGCAGGATAGGTAGCTCTGAGAATCATCAGCATAGAAATGGTAATTAAAGCCTGGGAGTTGATGATATCAACAACTGATGTAGTATAGAGAGAGATGAGAAGAGGGCCCAGGACACAACCCTATTGGACACCTACAGTTAGGAGCCATGATGTAGATGCAGATCCATCAAAGGAGACAGAGGAGGATTCATCAGATAGGTAAGAGGAGAACTAGGAGAGAACAGTGTCCCAAAAGCCTAGAAAGAAGAGATTATCAAGGAGAAGAGGTCAATCAGAAGAGTCAAGAGATGCAGAGAGACTGAAGGGATTGGATTTAGCAACTAAGAGGTCATTGGTAACTTTGGAGAGAATGGTTTTGATGGAATGGTAAGGTTGGAAGCCAGATTATAAGGGGTTAAAAATAAAGTGAGAAGAGAGAAAGCGATCATAGAAACTGATTGCAGAGGATTTTTTCCAAGTTTAGCCACAAAGGGCAGAAAAGATTTGGGGTGGTAGTAGGGAAGGAAGGATAAAATTGGGGTTTTTTTTCAGGATGGAGGAGATATGAGCACATTTGTAGGAAGTAAAGAATGAGCTAGTAGACAAGGAGAAATTGAAAACGAGTGATAGAGTAGGGAGGAAGAGGGGGCAGTCTGTTGGAAGAGATGGTATGGAATGGGATTGCTGGATCAGGGGAAGAGGAATAAAGGTATCTCTTCATGTGAGATGGAATGAAAGAAGAAGTATTAGCAGAAGGCATAAGAGTGATGTGAGATGAGGAAGAGGGGGAAAGAGGGAACTCACAGTGAATAGCACCATTTTTTCTGGAATATATGAGACAGGTTTCTCAGTTGAGAGGGTGGAGGAAGGGGGTACTATGAGAGGTTTGAGGAGGGATAAAAAGATTTGGAAGAGCTGCTGTGAAGAATGGGATAGTAAGTTGATAAGGGAGGTATAGTAAGATTGTGTAGCAGCAGTGAGGGCCAAGTTTAGGTTGTATAGTATAAATTTGTAGTGGATTGAAAATGTTTGCATGATTTTTACTACTTTTGTTTCAATAACACCTCTGTAGGAGTAAAGGAGGCAAATGGTGGAAGTGACCTAAGCCTGAGGCTTGACAGAATACAATCTGTGGAATGATGAAAACTCATAAGGGAGTCAAGAGAAAAGGACAGTGTAGAGATGAATTCCTTCACCAAGGGATCAACATGGGGAAAAGAGTGGCTACTGTAGGAGAGATGGCCTGGGAGAGAATTGAAGGGTCAAGGGATTAGAGGTCACAGTGCAGATGAAGATCAAGGTTTGGTAGGGAAAGCAGAAGAGGTGAAAAACCAATGGGTTATTGTTGGATAAGGGGATTTCAGAAATCTTGAACATGGAGGTGGTAAGATCAAGGGTATGACCATCTTTATGTGCGGCTGAGGTGGGGTGGAGGAGTAGATCACGGGATATGAGTAGGTTGAGTTGGTTACAGAGTTTGGGTCAATATGTATGTTGAAGGAGGGCAGGAGGTGGAGAGGAGTGAAAAATCATGAGCCACATACTGAATTCATTGAGGAAGGAAGGGGACTTACCTCGGAGTCTATAGATAACAGCTACCAGGATCTTAATTGAGTGGTAGATATGAATAGCATGAACATCAAAGCTAGGAGAGGTTACTGAATTATAGAAGTAGAGAGAGAGCCTAGAAATGGCAATGGGGAGCAAGGAGTAATCCAACTCCCCTGCCTCCTCCAGGGAGCTGAGGAGAGTGAGTGAAAGTGTAGAAAGTACTGGAAGAGGAGGTGGGGGGGGAGGGCTGTATCATCAACAGGGAGCCATAGTAGAAGTTATATATAGTGGGCCAATAGTTGTTGAATGAATGAATTCAATTCAATCATTTATTAGACATCTGATTCGTGCAGACTGCTAGGTGCTTTGGTAGGTGCTTTGAGTGATGCGAAGATTAAATAGGACATGGCATCTGACCTCACGGAGTTTACAATCTAATAGAGAGAGGCAAACATATTCTCATAAATTTAATGCAAAGCATAATGGGATAAGTATATGAGAAGATGAAATCCTCACTTCATTTTTGCTAGCTTTAGGCACAAAGTCTCATTTTCCTGGTTGGCAAAAATAGCTGTGTCAATGTCACTTCAATTTGGAATCCCCAGTTATCTAACAAGATCAGCAGGAACTGCTGCTGGAGAGAGAAAAGGGAACTGTATAAATATCGACTTTCTTGTCTGCAAAGATTCAAATTACTTGTCTACTTAAGGAAGCCTGTTATGTGTCCCTCTGATCAAGGCTCACTAAATTCTAGGTCTTTGTCCTTGTGTATTTGAATCTCACTCTACTACCGTACCACGAAGCATCGTGGTACAGTGGAAAGAACATGAGATTTGAAGCCACAGGACCTGAGTTTGAATCTGGCTCTAACGTTTTACCACCTGTGTCATCGTGGGCAAGTCGCTTTGTATCTCTAAACCTCACAAGTCTTTTGTTATTGTTCAGTCGTTTTCACTTGTGTCTGACTCTTCGTGACCCCATCTGGGGTTTTCTTGGCCAAGATGTTAGAGTAGTTTGCCATTTCCTTCTCCAACTCATTTTACAGATGAGGAAACTGAGGCAAATAGGGTTGTGACTTTCCCAAGGCAGTATGGTGTATAACAAAGTGTCCATGTTTTATTCCTCTACTAGACTTTAAGTTACTTGAGGGTAAGGGTTGCGTCTTATCTCAGTTTGTATCTTCCCTCATACCTGCCCAGTGCTCTGTGCTCAGTAGGCACTTCATGTTTATTGAAAACATGGACATTTTGTCTAGTACTTTATAGTTTCTGAAGCACTTCTTTATACATTCTCTCATTTGAGCCATACATGAGTCCTGTGAGATAAGCAGGTCTAGTATATTTATTTTCATTTTATAAATGAACTGGGGCCCAGTTTAGGGTTAAGCGATATGGCCAAGATCACAGAGATAGAAAGATGTTAAAATGACACTAGAACTCATGTCTCTGGGATCCTACCTCAGTTAATTTTCAATTGTATTATGTTATTTCTAAAATGGGTAGTTATTGTACCCTGACAAAGGATATAATAATAATATAATATAATATAATAAACATAATATAATATAATAATAATAATAATATAATAATATAATAAAATAATCAGATATACTAGGAGAATCTCCTTATATCATGGTCTGATTTATATATATGTTACCATGGCATGGATGCCAAGAGCAGTGTTATGGTGCGTCTCTAATGTACTCTGTATTCATCTCTTGGGAGGCAATCAATGATGATAAGTTGAATCTAATATTTCTAAGAGCTCTTCAGTTCTCAACCCCCATGACTTTATGAACCACACTGATTACTGATCAATCAGTTTGAGAGCTTCTGGCTCCACAGAAAGAATATAAATTTCTAGAGTCTTAAAGTCGAAAGGAATCTCAGAGACCATCTAATCCAATCCCTTCATAAGGGAATTGAGGCCCAGAGAGATTTGGTAATTTGCCCATACTTTGAATTTACTAGTTCATGGCAGAACAAATATTAGAACGCAATTATCCTGACTTTTTGATATATTAGTTTGAAGCTATAATATGCTCTCTCACATCCTATAATCTCATCTTGTCTATGACATTAAGTGCGTGACCACGAGGAAGTTACTTGGCTATTCTGAGTCTCAGTTTCCTCATCTATAAAATGCGAATAACCATCCTTTCCAGCCTAACTTATAGCTTGCTTGTGGGGAATTTGCTCTATAAACCGTAAAGTGTTTTAAAAATATAAACTACTACCCGCCCTCATTCACTCCCTCATTCATTCAGAAAGCATGTATTAAGTGTCTATTATATACAAGCACTGTATTGTTTTGGGGCTACAAAGATAAAAATTAAAAACAATCCCTGCCCTCAAGGAACTTATATTCTAACTCTTGGCAGTGTTGTTTGGAAAGCGTTTTGTAAACTTTAAGATACTATTTAAGCCACAAAAGGACCATTACAACTATATAAATGTGTTATTATTATTGTTATTTTGGTTATTATCGCTATCCTGTATATATCCTTAATGTTACCCTGCCACAATTTTCCATTTGCAAAATTGAAACACCCCTCACATTCTTCACAATAGATGTGAAGCCAGTGTCCTAGAAAGAAGGGTTAGATGTGTAATTAAAATAAATTAAATTAAAATTAAAACAAAACCTTCTCTCACTCATGGCATCTTGAATTTTGTTTTCGTCCAGGTTGGTGAAATAAAAGCCCACGCAGCCGAGTGGAAAGCCAACGTGACAGCTGAGTTCCGGGAGACACGCAGACGTCTGAGTGTGGAGATCCACGATAAGCTTCAGCGGGCAGCCACAATCCGAAGCATGGAACGCAGGCGGCTCGGCCTGGATCAGAGGGCTCACTCCCTGGACATGCTCTCTCCTGAGAAGCGCTCAGTCTTCGCTGCGCTGGAGACTGGGCGCTTCAAAGCCTCATCTCAGGAAAGCATCAATAACCGGCCCAACAATTTACGCCTGAAGGGGTCAGAGCATCTGAACAAGCATGGGCAGGGAGCGTCTGAGGACAACATCATCAACAAATTTGGGTCTTCTTCCTCCAAGCTCACCAAGAGGAAAAACAAAGACCTTAAAAAGAGCGTCCCCGAGGATGTTCAGAAAATTTACAAGACCTTCCGGAATTATTCCCTGGATGAGGAGAAAAAAGAGGAAGATTCAGAAAAAATGTGTAACTCGGACAACTCGAGCACAGCCATTTTGACTAATTGTATCCAGCAGCACTCGGAGATGGAGAACGGAGTGATACCTTCCGAGACCAAAGAAAGGGAACATGAAAACAAATCATTACTTGAAGACAGAAATTAAATGTAATGTGATGTTAGTGTTTTTATATACATATTGAGACATGTGCCTTATATGAACCTCTTTAATTAGTCTGAATTACATAGCGTTGAAGAATATTTCACTGTGCCATAAAAGACTGAAAGCTGGCTCTGCCAAAATGAATCAAAGTACAGCACTTCAAATAGTGACAGTAGAACACACATCGGGAGTTTCAACAAGTAGGTTACCATGGTGAAATGTTAAGGGAGAGAGTTACCATGGCAATACAACTGGAAGGTTATCACCCTGGCATAATAGTTGGGGGGGAAAAAAAAGGGCAGCTATTTTTTAGACCAGCCTTTTGAAAGAAAAAAAAAAGGTGAGAATTATGTAGCTTATCAGTGGAGTCCAGTTTCCTGAACATCTTACATGTTTCCTAAATATACATAGCCGTATGTATACACATAGGAAAAGGAGAAATGGTTGGGGTGAACTGGTAACTTATTAGAAATTCATTTTACATTTTGGCAAGTGCTCTGAGCTTGAATTTTTTTTAAATCATCTAATGCATAGTCTTTCTAAACTTCAAAAGAATGTCCATGGAACCTGAGACCAGCTGGATGTTGGAAGCAGATCAGAGCAAATATGTTAAAAGGTGCAATTACTTTTCTCATTAAAAAAGAAAGAAAAGAACAACAAAAAACATCACACTGTGGATATCACCTTAACCAATGACAAAAAAAAATATACTGAATTTCTTTTTTTTTTCTCTGAGGGGTAGCCCAGATGAACTGAATAACATAGGCAAAAACTCAACTTCAACTACTGTGTTGTTCAATGGCAAACCTTGTGTTTTCCTTAATGTGTCCAGTATCAGGCAGACTGGTTTTAAATTCTCCCTTTTCACGCTTTCTGGCAGAACTTTGCTTTTAATGTGGGCAGACAAAGGGGTTGGGGGTGGGGTGGGAAGCTACTGCCTTGCATGTTGTCAGCATCCTGCTGTTGACTATAGCTGAATATGACTTTTTACAAAAGCTGATATCATCCATTTCTGATACCTAGAGATAGATGAGGACCATGCATCATTAGCATCTCAGGGCTCTCTGTCACTTTTGGGTGGAGTGGGGTGGAGATGTGAGATCCAACCCTGATGTCTCCAAACAAGGCGAAAACCTGTCCATCAACCAAATTCAGTCAATTAGGAACAACATATTTTAAGTGCTTAGAGTTTAAGTGCCATTAATACCATTCGTTATATTTTGTCATCCATCAAAGAAATATTTTCATTTTTTTTAGCTTTTAAGTTTGGGCTCTCCTTCCTTACTGAAGAGCTCTGTTTATTTTCCCCTCCCTTTCTCTCTCATTATCTCACACTCTCTTCCCTAGAAACTGAACCTGGACTTGGTTGGTGATGTCAAGCCAAATGATGAACAAATAGCCAAAATGTGATGTTCTTGAATGTTCCACGACCCCTGGGGTAGGGGAAGGAAACAATAGCCCACCTAGTGTCATGAGACAACCACTTAAATCAATTTTTGCTATAAATAAGGAAATGCTAGTGAGTTTGAGGTCCCAGCACTGTTTGCACTTCAGTCTTTGCTATTGTCTATTGTCAACTTTGTATACTCCAAATGAGGTATATTTGATTGCATGCTGTCACTGATCCCCTAATCTTTGAGAAGATCAAACAAGGACTCTTTGTTAAAGGTTTCCATGATTCAATTCATTTCCATTCATTGCCTTGGGGATGTGTGATCAGTTGACCCAGCAGGATGATTTTCCATAGGATCATACTACTAGAAGGGACCTTTAGGCTAGTCCATCTCCTGGCTTTCAAGCCAGGGACACAACTACAATATTCCTGACCAATGGATATCCATCTGGTAAGATTTTCCGGGGTGGAAATCTCCCTGACTGTTTTGGCGGGGCAGATGCAACACATATAGTGGTGTTTCCTTTCTCCAAACTTGGTGTTACCCTTCTCCAAACTTATCTCCTGTCTTCTTTAGGCTCCATTTCATCTTTTCCTTTGGTTATCCGGTTGAACTATGGGAGAAGCTTCTGGGTCTTTTGAGAACGCCTAAGAATCAAGTGGCCCTATCTACCCCAGATAGGATTATGGTCAGCCCAAATAAACGTCTAAATTAATAGGACTTTGACTCATAAGACCCTTCATCTCTACAGTGGCAATGAGGTGTAGTTTATTTTACATGAAGTTATGCAAGAGGGGACATAGTTTCTTACTATGTGTATCCATACACATAGAAGTGTATTTTTAAGATGGATTTTTAAGGTGTATTTTTAAGATTCTAATTCATGAGTTCACATTAAGCCTAAGGGCAGTTTCTGGAAGAAAAGGCCCCCTGAATCATTGTCAGCGGGTTTCACGCTTGCTTAAGTTCCTAACCAGTCTAAATTCTGGATCCTTGGTAATGGCCCTTTCTCCATTTGACTGACCCCCAAACTGCAACATCCTGGAGTCTTCTACCTCAGGCAGAAGCCTTAGTCCTGCAGGGCAGCCTGGGACACAATTATCCCTATGTGCCTCTAGCTACCAAGATTGGTGGTAGTGACAAGGTAGAGTCTGGCAGAGGGGAAGATACAAGAGAGAAGCACAAAGATAACTTTTGAGGCTAAATATGGAATGTGGCAATGCTAACCCTGTGTAGATCCAGCCTAACATATTTTATCCCAAACTCCAGAATGTATATTTTGTCTTCTTGAAATGCTGTATATATTACCCACCTGATTGTTAAAATATTATATGGACATGCTATCATGCACTTTATCATTCACCTCGCAGAAACACAATATATAGAAGGAACAAAATAATACAAAACTGCATTTTGCACCAAATGAAACATGTACATTCGCTGGAGTATGAAATAAAAGCTTTTTTAACTGCATCAGATCCCAAATAACTGCAGTTATCAATACAGCAATAGGAAAAAAAAGTGTGTGTGTGTGTGTGTGTGTGTGTATATGCACATATATACATATATGCACATACATACATATACACACATACATACATATACACACATATAGATACACATATATGTGTGCGTATATAAAATTTCCTCCATATAAAAGTAATCCTCAGACACAAATGCCTGGAAAAGAGAGAACTAAGATAAGTCCTACAGTGCAGATAGACTGAATAAGAATACATATCAAAGAGCTTTGTGAGACCTAAAGCCCTCTGCAAGTTTTAGAAGATTTTCTAAGAGGTTGAAACAAAATAAGGGGCTTAATCTCTACCTTTCACACAGGACAACACTTTAGCAAAAGTACATGTAATATTTTTGGGGGGGATTGGGGGTGGGACAAGGAGGCATTCGATGAAGAATGATTTCTTTTAAAGGTCAGGCTAAATTGTGGACAATGACCAAAGTCAATGTATGGTTGTACCTTTTACTAACCAAAAAAAGAGACTTCTTTTAGCTAGAGACTTTGACCAGGCACATGGTTAGATTTGCCAACCACAAAGTGATTTTTGCTTCCCCTTTTATTTGAGGGTTAGACTTCTCCAGTATCTCTGGGTCCTGCAAGGAGTAAGCAGAAGACAAAAGTGATTTTGCAGAACATACGCTGACATATTCCTAGCAGATGAACTGAGTATTCTTGGCTGTTTTTAGAAGAGATAGTTTGGGGATGGAGGAGACAATGGCATGGATGACCTTACTGACTAAATAAATGATATTGGAGAAATACAGTGGAAAGATCCCTGGACATGGCAGTCTGGAGACTTGGACTCTAGCCCTGACTCTGTCCCTAGTCAGCTAATGTAGCTTTGGGCAAGTTACTTGCTTCTCTATGCTTCAGTGTTTTCGCATGTAAGATGAGGAGGTTGGACTAAAAGATACTCTCTAAGGTCCCTTCTAGCTATATGAATCTATGAAGAAAACTTCCTTGGTCTCTTATCAATCAATAAATAAACATGTATTAAATCCCTATTGTGTTCCAGGCAGTGTGCTGCTAAATGCTGGGGATACCAAAAGAAGTAAAAGACAGTCCTTGCCCTCAAGGTTACAGTCTAATCTACTAACTCATGAGTCATACTGCTCTGATCTGGAAATATTCAGTGATTCTGATGTATTTTCTATAATCTTAAGAATTCAGTTTCCTAACTTCCATGACTTGTTATATGGCATATGGATGGAAACCACCCCTCTATGTGGGACACCAGACTGGAAAACAGGATGATGAAAATAGGATGAACCCTTGGGTTCACAACTACCTTCTCTAAAGGAGACAGTAGTCAGATGACTTCATGCCATTTTGACATATGTTTGTTTGGATTTAAACGAATTGAGACATTTGACCTTGAGCTCATTGGCAGCCCAATGAATGGAAAGTTCAGTTTAACACTACGTTAACTTGGTGTACTATAAACACACTCAAATTAAAGCATAGAAATACACACAGAAGATGGGCCTACAGTGAATGCCATGGAATATAATGCCATGGAGAAAGTATTGGCAGATATTTCTTTATTTGTGGCCTTCTGAAATTCCCCTTCCTTTCTTCTGAGATGACATTAATTCCTGTCTAAACCAGTGCAACTCATCTATTTGTCTGTGTTTGGTTTCTAGTATTAATGATGCTGTGGATGGAGGTTGGATTGCTGCAGGTTCTCACTCAACACTTCAAATGAAAATATAAGTATCCTAGGCTTCTTCACATGCCACGTATTTCCTAACCATAGGATAAGGCTATGAACAAGAATGAAAAAAAGTTCACTTGCAAAAAGCAAAACCATGAAAAGGGTGAACAATATTTCTAATGCTCTTTGCACGTGACCATTGGCATGTCACCCTTCCTTGCTACTGTGATGCAACAAAATAGGAAATGACAAATATTGAGGCAATATGAGTGAAGTTGCTCTTGGTGCAATACTAGAGCCCACCAGCAACAGCCTTAAATTGGAAAAATGCTGAATCTCTGACCAAGAGGTCACTTTAATCTGACTCCACAGATATTAACTCTGCTTGTGGGAATTAGGGAATCACATGCACTTAACATGACTGTAAATAAAGCCGCGCATACATTTCATTTGGAAACACGTACTCGGTCTTTGCACAGGAAACTAATTGTGTTGTTCTTTGCTCAAGTGATGCATTTCCCTTTAAATCTTGGTCCTCCTGTGTCAGTATGAAAGTCATTTATTGGCATTGTAGTCTTAGGATAAATAATAGATACTTCTAATTTGACTAAAAGTGAGTGTCCTTTTCACAGGTGCCTAAGAGAGTTGGAATTTACTTTCCATACTGGGTTCCTAAATCAGAAATCTCAGACAGGTCTCCGTGAATTTTTTTGGAAAGACATCACACTCCATCTCCAACAGTGGACCCATGCCATAGGGGGTGACTACAAAACCTCTCCTTCGCGATAACAGTTGTGTGTCTAAAGAGAGGCAGTGCACTGGTGCCTAAAAGTGATATGCAAACCAAACATACCAGCCTTCAGTCCTTTACTTAATGAGCTTAAGTCCCAGAGCCACATGAAAGATTATCAAATGATGGTGATGATGTTCAAACCATGTGTGGAAATGTCTTACGTATTTTTTTTCTCTCTGTAGGATTTCATGGTGCTTTAAAAAAGGCATTTACAGAAAAGGGAGGATTTCATAATGTTATTAGGAAGAATATAAAGCAAAATCGCTTGTAACATTTCAATAAGCTGTGCTGCTATTGTCTTTCTCCGATGATGTAATTTTTTTCAATGATGGAAAAAATATTGCAACAAAGACCTTCTGCCTTCTCTGTTGTCCTTTGTCCCCATAATGCCTAGTGTCCTTGAGTGGCTGGGGTTGGGAACTTTTCTTCTTACATGAAGCCAGAGATAGAGAAAGTATTTAGTAAGCCCTTACTATCTGCTCCATATTGTGCTAATAGAAAACAACATATAATGAAAAATGCTTCTATTAATGGGCTTTAATACTTTCTTGGTTACACCAGTTTTCTCCTTTTTTTCCCTCTTTCAGTCAAATGATATCTTTCCCACTCAGTGAGAAACAACAACATATCACTGTTCATGAACACTTATGGGAGTGATTACCATGGTCACTGGGTGGGAGGTTGGATCTTCTGATTCAATTCATTTTGACAAAGTTAAGCACCTACAATTTGTAAAATGTTTTGCTGGGCCTAGGGTCTCCAAAAGCAAGAATAAATTAATCCCTGTCTTCAAGAAGTTTGCATTCTCCTAGAGAGATATAATTATACAGACAGGTAAGTCAATACAAGATAATTTGAGGAGGAAAAGGAGGAAAGAACAAATAACTGGCTAGTTGGGATAGGAGCTATGGTGATCAAGAAAATCATCTATAGGAGATGGTACCAGACCAGAGCTGAACTTCAAAAGAATCTGGGATTCAAATTATGGGGGTCATCCCTTGCAAAGGTTCAGAGGCAGATGATGAAATATCACATTTAGGGGACAGCTGGCTGTTTTCTACTGAACAGTAAGCTGGCTTAATTGGAATGTAGAGTTTGTGAAGTGGTGGTGGTGGTGGTGGTGGTGATCATGTTAAATAAAGATGGGCAGAAGCCAGATTGTGGAGGGTTTTAAATACCAGGCTGAAGATTTGTAATTTATCACAGAAGCAATCGGAAGCCATGGAAGCCTTTTCATTAGGGGAGTGACAAGGTCAGATACATCTCAGAAATATTACTATTCATTTGAAAGATACATTGGATCTGGGTAAGAGGTTTCATTGGTCTTTGTGAGGCTAGGTCACAGGATGGAGTCAAGGAACTAATCAGTTAACAGGAGGATCATGACCACCAATGAGCTCCAGCTCTAACCTTATGGAGACCAAGGTTGTGGTTCAACAGAACCAATTTTCTGTAATAGAGAAGAAGAGGATAAGCATTTATTAAGCACATACTACGTGCCAGCCACTGTGTTAATTGCTTTACAAATATCTCATTTGATCTTCACAGCAACCTTGTGAGGCAAATACTATTATTTTCCCCATTTTTCAATTGAAGAAACTGAGGGCAAATGACTTGCCCAGGATCACCTAGCTAGTAGGTTTCCGAGACTGGATTTTAACTCAGGTCTTTTTTGACTCACATCCCAAGGCTCTATCCACTGTACCACCTAGCTGTTTGTAATTATCATCTAGAAATGATTCTGTAACAGCTAGGGAGGGTTACTACTAAATCATCAATGCGTAGCGCTTTCCAATTTGACTTTGGGTGGTTTGTTCAGATGTTCCATTTGTGGGGGCAACTGGTCTAGGAGTTTCAGATCTTGTTGGCATATCTGGGGTCCCAACAAAGCCATCCTATTTGAGTCATCATGATGGCCTTTCCTGATGCTGGCACAGACTCTCTAGTGGTTATGGTGGGACACCCTGAGCCACCATGCTCTTCTATTACATTTCAGGTGGAGTGGAAGAAGGCATTTGCTTTCATGGTAATGAAATTCTTCAAGGAAGAATTCTAGAACAAATAATTAAAAGTATAGTTAGTAAACATCTAGAAAAAGAAGCAGTAATCACAAAGAACCAGCATAGTTTCATCAAGAATAGGTCATGGCAAATGAATCTCATTTCTTTTCTAAGACAGTTATTGGA